GTGTAAGCAGGCAAATTATGTTACACACACAAAGGAAGACAAATTAGCAACATGGATAAACGTAAAGAGTATTTCTCGAATCTTAAACCATCAAATCGTAGAGTTTGTATGTAGAGAATCAAACCAGTTACCAGAAAAGTGACTTGAAAAATAGCGATTATCTACTGCGCGCTTCGACACAATATTATACATATTGCAAAACATTTAAAAGCATAATGAGACTGACGTAACGTCTATTCTTGTAACTGAAGCATTGAAAAACTAATATGTCGGAGACTATTCACTTCCTCAAAGTTTTGTAGGGATGTTTATGTCATTGTTAGGTATAAGTTGCCTTTCCTATATTTTTCAATGTGAAAGTTTTATTATGTGCATTAAATATCTTAGTTGACATATACTGTTATCTATCAGCAAGTCAATCCTGCATATTGACGCAAGTTGACTCGACAAGTAAGAGAGCTCATGATGACTATTCCATTCCGAGTTTCGAAATGAATGTGAAAAGCAAATGATGCCATACATAGTATCGTACTGTGTCACACGTAGTTTGAGTCGTCTCGCGATCTTGCACACTAAGTTCTATCGTAGTCGAAGAGTTTCACAGATATCTTGCACGCCTCGCCAATATATTTAACAAGTGGGATCTTATTGGTGTTTAGTTTATCTTCTTAGACGTTATTAGGGTAAATAATCCTACCTCGATACATATACGGCGCTTGTGCAATTAGAAGCAAATTGATATTTTATAAATCAAATTAGAAAAAAGTCTAAACCTCTGGATTTGCCTAATTGTTTTATTAAGATGAATTGACACTTGTCGCCTAAGGCGAAAATCGAATTCCATCGCATTTAGTGGTCCACACCTAATTAATATGACCCTATTATCTAAAGGTTGCGCTGCACGAGATCACCTTAACTTGTATCACTTTACCCAAGACCCCTGCTCAGATGACATCATCTAACATCGCGCCCCCACGATTACGTCATTCAATATTGCGGTACCTTAGATCGTGGTGTATGGTGCATTATCATTATGTTGCTCATGCCTACAGAAAAATGAGCGCTCAGTCGCAGCGCGATCTGAGATGCACGTGTCTCGATCCGCTTTACTACAATCATTCAAATATCTAACCAAATATTTGGGCAGGGTTGCCCTACTTAAACACAATAATGAGTCTACTTTGCATACACGAATTGATATTTTATTATATTCGCTCCTTGCTGCAACAACATCAATCTCTGACTCATGAATTACGCGAGCATTAAAAAGTTCAGAAAAGGACAATTATCCAAAGTAGAGAAGCTTGTGGAACGCGATTATGTACTAAATGCACTTCTAGCCGAATACAGAGCTGGACTCTTCTCTCATCATGCCGGTGGGTGTGAAGACCAACAAAACCTTAAAAAAAATACTGAATGTATTGCATGTATTCTCCAATCATAAAACATATTGGCGATTCGAGCCTTGTAATTGTATTTTACTAAAGTCTGGTTGCTCTGTACTCCGCGATATCAGCTTTTTACTCTAAAAATTATTTGTGGGCTTCAATTGCTCCCACCCATACTGGAGGGTGAAAGTTACTTTTGCGGAAAGAGTTGCGCGCTGTATGTGTCAAAATGAAAGCTATTTCGAGGTTATGGATAGAGTTCAACACGGTGTATTTGGATTGTTTGTTGCTAAATTGGAAACTTATCGATCACCTCTCTGCACTCCAGTATTAATCAGGATGTTTTTTGCCTTAATATGTTTTTAGTAAAATTAATGGCTGTACAACTTCCCTATCCGTCTAATCACAGTATCATTATTTTGATCTGCACATACTTTTCGCCTTTTAAAAGCTGTTTTTATATATTCGTTGCAATATATATATGTGCCGTAGTCGAGATATACAAAGAGCTATCTCAATATTACTCTATCTATTGTGGGATTCACATCGATGTAGGGAGAGGTACTTCGATTATTGTGACTTCTCACTGAAGATCAACGTTTGACCCGTAGACTAGCCTCAATCTTCGTAACGGCTTCATCAAATGTAATTATTGCTTTGAGATCAGTCCGATTTTTTTATTGACTGCTTTATGGAAACATTTGTGGTACTATTTTTGTGTTTCGATCTTGACCCGCCGTTGCCAATTGATCTTGGTCTGAGACCGTCAAGTGCTTTATGTATTGGTCTTTAAAGCGCCTGTTTACTGAAAAAAACTTTGGAGAATTTTTGTGCCTTCCGAAGACTTACAATACATGCGATACCCAGATCGGTGATTGATAGATCGGTCTGTCGATATTTGTTGCCCGTCTTATGCGTGGCTTCTGCGTCTGATCGCATTATTTTCAAGTCAGTGTTGATGGTTTACTACACTAGCCATTAATTCCATGTAGATTCGTAAGACGTGACACAATAATGGCTCAGGGTGGATCGGTAGGCCAAAATTTGCCCAGAAGATAAACTTTTGAGGCGCGTAGATATTAAGATTAAAGGCTTATAGAAGGCAGCTTAACTAGTATCCGACCATAAAGATGAATATATGACACTGCATGGAAGGTTTGAAACTTCGTATTAGCTTCGTGAACTGTCTTCTTCGTTTTAATTTTTATAAGCCGATTCGTGCGTCGCACTTCAGTAAACAACTCCAGCACGTAGAATATTGCCCATATACATAGAACATGTGTAAATGTACAAATATTGTGCGTACATTCATATATTGCATTATTCAACAATAATCATACCAATTGTGTCCGAAAAACGTTATGCCTCCGGCTCGTACGACATCCTATTAATAAATCATTGGGTTTGAGCCATCAAAGATGTTATACACAACTTTCTTAAGCGTTTAATGACATACAGCACCTTTATAGATCGCTACTAAAATTTTGAGATATCTGGTTTAAAATCGCGATAAAAGTATAATATAGTTCATGACATGGAGATGACTATCTCGCAAGTCTTCCAAATAAGTTTGTTATACTCCACATGTTTCTTGATCATCAACGTAATGCCCGCGGATCTATCCATCAATTCTTTAATGAAATAGATTGAAATAAATTTAATTAAATTTAATACATGTAAGTAGGAACCGTGACCCATAAATGTCTTCCGGCTTATAGTTGCATCAGCTTTGCCACAATATTGGGTGACATATCGATGTACGAATTCCCGTATCAACACACAATGTCCTTGCATAACCTTTGTAATAGTTTGTTTTTATGTGTGAGGTCTATTGAAGATCGATAACAGCCGATAGTACCCGATTCACGCTGAAAAGGTGGGATCAACGATCGCTCATGGAATCTGCCATGCCAATTCTTATCAATCAGGAAGTACATCTCTCGTGTGTCGCATCCTGATCGGACAAAAAAACTCTTATTACCTCTTTTCGAAACGCTGAAAATTAACTAATACAATTTGCTTTTATATCATATTTGTTTTCACATTATTGCCCTTATGCGTCTGACCATTCCTTCGTAACGATTTCGGGGTATTATGACCTGCACTTCATAAACGCGGCATGCATGTCGATGTTGCCGCATTAGTATAAATTGAACGTTGTTAATAGGTGGGTAGTCATTCATTTGACAGTTTTATTATGCTCAGCAGGATATATCTACGTCTTGAGCCCTTCACGAGTGCTGGCTATGACCACTACACACATATTATGTCCTGAAACGAGATTGCTCGCATCAAAACACTGGATCCGATCCGCGCCTATGTCTTTTACCGGCAGATGTCACACACAAAGAGGAGGCAATCATAATGGTACAGGATGTAGTCGCCTCTTCTTTTGTGTGTAAATAGTGCCATTTTTGATGTTTTAGATTTCGCCAAAGCCAAGTTGATGTTGCTGTATCATCTCCGCGGGCACTTGTACGGTCGCGCTCGCAGATTGTTGCGTCGAGTGAGTCAGCTCTGCGCATAACTTTTGTTGACGACGGCGACGTTCATTCGTTGGCAAGTCTACTTCCTCGGACCTATTCGCAGACGTTAGCCCTTCTCCTGTTATGACTATTGTTGTTGGATTCTAGCTGCTTGTTCTGCCGCTGCTGCTACAGCTAATGAAGTGGCGCTGGTGGGCAGATGTTGTCGTGCTAGAGGTGCGAGCCTTGGACTGCACCGAACGTCAAGTATTCCTTTCTTGGAAGTAAATCACGTACGTGCGCGCGTGCGCGCGCGTAGCTGACAGACACACAACCAGTAACTATCGAAATTGACTTTTGCCTCGCGCACACTCTTTAAAACTCTACTCATCGGACATGGTATCATAACGATCTGATTCTTTGGGACCGTAGAACAGGATGAATTCTGGATAAATTCTAAGTGACGTTTTCGACCTTTCCAGCTTTGACATGAAAAAGAACGAAACTAGAGCTTGACTAATCGAGATAGAGATGTTTTCTACTGACTGGACACGTACGTGAGGAAGGCAATGTTAAAGGTCGAGCGTCGGGTTCTCTAAGCGAGAAAAAGCGCAAACGACCAAATTGTCGTCGCGATGACAAAACAATGCCGATCTGCGTTTGAGTATCAGGAGTAAGGCAAGGGATACGCGCCGAGACCGTCTCCAGCAAACGAGTCCAAAAAGGGGGATGGCGCCCAGATCTACGACGAAGGCGACTGAGCAATGCCGGGAGAAGGAAGTAGCTGAAGGATCAGATGCGGCTCGTACGGACGGGCTGAAGCTCTTTGCAATGGAGATACGTCAACTGGACTTTGTAGTGACCAAGTGCAAGCAGCAGCAGACGTTGCGATGCGAGCGGTTGTAACTCAAGCAAGCATAGATGAGTTCAATAGAAAGTCACAAAGCAGCAGCTTCTGATGCAGGTGATGGAGCTGCGCGCGAGACTTGTGAACGCGCTGGACGAGACGGGACAGTCTCCATGGATAGAGTGAGTGCGTGAGTTAGCGAGTTTGCTGCAATAGACAGACGGAAGAAATTGATGCTTTTGACGAATGTACTGCGTATCGTCCTTCTGTGGCTGCTCATGATCACATCGCTGCTGCTCCTCACATGCTCTTTGTCATGAACTCCTCGTGGCTCTGGCCAAACAACCTCTGTACGTCGCGCTGGATGCCGCTCTTGGACATCTTCCAGCCCGTTGCGAATAGCTTCTCTCGTACATGTCCACGAGCACTTTGCTGATCACATTGCGCGAGTGGCTCCACGTGTACATGGACTGGTCCAGAACACGCGTATCCAAGCGCTGGCTCGTCAACGCTGTGCTTAGGGTCTCGATACGCATCCGCGTGAGCTCTTCAATGATCGACGGGTTGTTGCAGTACCACCAGCAGCCATACAGATGCAGGATTCGGAACTTGTCGGCCTCCACGGTCACTTCGTGCTGCTTCACGAGCGAGCGTAACGTGGCCAGGCACTCTACCTCGTATAGGGAACAACTTGGTCAAAATGTTCACGTTGCTCGGGCTTTACTCCGTCGCCGGCCATACCATAACAAGCATTGTTTGAAAGCACGCTGTCAAACTTTAGCGCAATCGGCAGCTCCTTCTCTTCAGCCAGCGGCAGCGGTACTTGCAGCAGCTATGCCGCACCATTCGGTAGCTCGTTTGTACTAGCAGAAGCAGGCGTGTACTCATCCGGCCATTCGTACGATCTCATCCGGCCATTCGTACGATCTCATCCGAACTCTCGAAGGAAATGGGCACGCCAGCCATGAAGTACTCGGGCTTCATCATGTCGATCCACTTCTCCAGAAGCAAACGCGCACCCGCAAGCGTATATGGTAGCTTGAACACGTCCAGCGTCGAGCTGATGGACGCCCAATCGCCAAGCAGGACCTGGTCTACCCGCAGAGCCGAACGGAAGTACTTGCGGGACCATGCAGGCGGCGGCGTTGTTGTGGTTGGATTAACCAGTCCGTATTGGGCTTCCTCCCGTTCAAACGGTATGTTTGTCATCGCCGCGTACTTGAGACCAGCTAGGCGGAACACCGTGTCCACGTACTCCTCGGCATCCTGATGCTTGAACCCTTCCTGGATAGCAGACAGGTCCGTCTCGTCACAAGGTGGTCCAGACCCGCCAAGTGCAGCGTCGTCAGTGCTCCACGGTAGGCTCCAACACAGGAGAGCGTTCCTCGGACAGGTGCTAGCAGACGAGACCTGCCTACTCGTGGCCTTCTGCTTCTTCCAGATAACTCACGTCTTCGACCTCAATCTCCTCCGTCTCGACACTGCCATCGACTCGAACGACGTCCACTTCGTACGTTCCTTGCGCCTCCTCACACGCGCGGACAAATCTGTGTCCGGGTGTCTGGGCCACCACAACAGCGCCACCAGCTGCTCGAATCGTGGCACGAGCACTGACCGCTGCATTGCCCCATTCATCGAAACCGCCATACAAAACACACCGTCAGCTTGCGACGACGGCCTATCGCACTGCGCGATGCAATCGAAGTAGTACACGACGCAATACGCACGAGGAAGCGACCACTGCCGATGCAGATGCTGTCGGTCGCGCTCGAGAAACGCGAGTGGCCGCGCAGCATCTGGGACATCTCGGCCGGAAGACAAGTGGGTGCGTGTGTACCCTTGTCGAGGGGATACGTTGTCGCCCTGAAGTGGGGTCGAAATGTCGACGGAAGGTAACCAAACCACTGGCGACGAGCGGAGAGGGGTCGGTCAGTATCTCGAGGGTGGCATCCTCGTGTTCGGTTCGGTCGGTGGGACTCACGCACTGGTACGAAGGACCTTCGGACAGAGTCTGCGGTTGGTGGTGGTAAGACCGAAATGGTGCCCGGCGTGCAGACGGCGCCGCCCAGCAATAACTAGCAGTGCATCACAGAGCTCGCGAGCGTGGCTGTGGACCGCACCGAGACAGAGGGTGTTGAGTTTGTACGATCACTGTCTCGTTCTCCCATGCGCCGCCGCCAGAAGAAGGAGCTTCGTATCCCGCGTGCTCTTTTGGGCGGCCAATTCCTATGTTGTGGAGCCCTACGGGACACTCTAATCGCACTGGACGTTGACACAGTGAACGTCTTGATCGATTGCAGAACTGGGCCTGCATCCTCTCTAGACAAGCCATACGCACTCCCTGTCATTCTAATGGTACGGGCCCACATGTGCATTGGCACGCCAAGCTGCGTTGCTAAGGGATTTCGGTATGAGAAAGTGCGATAGAGATCGACATTGGCAGCTGGCCCTTAGCTTAACGGGGATCTGCGTCAGCGGCACTCACCGCGAGAGTGAACTGATGAATGCCTACACATGACAACTGCTTACAACGGATCGCATCAGCGGTATTGAAGCGGGGGCGGGTACCACGCAGCAATGTGTCATCGTTCGGGAGCAGGAGAGTTATGGAAGCAGTGATTACCTCGAGTGACCAACACTGACGATCAGTGGCTAGCGACCGACTCCCAGACGCTTAGACAACGCCACGAATTGATCGGTGTTGACTTTGACGCAATTTCGCTGCTTCGCGGATGACATGGAGTGTATCCGGTACCGTCGCGAACTCAACGTCTTGTTGGCGTTCAAGTGACGACCATTGTATGTTGAACGCTTTAGACCGTGCGCTGCCTTAGGCTTTAACTAAGGCACGATGCACTGGCGCGGGGCAGCGCTTGATGAGTTATCGCGTCCAACAGCTGCCAAAAAGGATGTTGGCACACGACAACGACTTTAAGAGGACCGGGTATGAGGTCATTGATGGTATACCAAAGCAGCAACTAGATCAATGTTTCGACGGAAGAGGACGCGACTGCAGTCGACGCAAAAAAGCATTGCCGCCAAGGGGTGAAGGAGACAAAAGGAGCACAAGTGCTGGTCATGCCCACGCGCGCAGATCTGTTGGCAGAACCTTATCTGCTGCATATACAAGTCGAAGCGGGAGTTAATTAGAACGCATGTACGACTTTGTTACATATATAATGCATGTGGACGAACGCTGGGGCCGTGCAAGAAAGTCAAACAACGTATATTGTAGGAAGTTAACACGATGGTGTAGATCGCGGGCACCATCAAAAACTGGGCGTCACAGGCGCTCTCAGCCAGCTCAAGCGCATTGTCGGACGGAGCAGAGATGGTGTCTCGCCAACGTCCGAAATGGTGCCTCGCCAACGTGTGCTCTTCAGTCGGGACCCGTGCGGCCTCTCGTGGCGGAGCTAAAAGCACAAACCATCAAAACATCGATCATCGTTGGTTGTCAACGCTCGAACAAAACGGCAGCAGCTAGACGAATGATAAAACTCACACATTATGTACGTACAGTCGCTGCTTTGTAGACCCGAAAGCTTGTGGACACTCCACTTACAAACTAGCTCTTTGTGCCTCTGACAAATATTCGTCCTTCAAATATTTTGCCTCCAAGTTCTTTTTGAGTTTGGAGAAATTATTACCAGCTTCCTTTAGATGATCAGCATAATAATTCCTCCAATCAAGAACTTTCTGGCCGCCAACGAAGTCATTACGATCCACCTTGGACAAAGCAGCCCTAGCATAGGAATCAGGTGAGACTTTTTTATCGGCTAGGCGATAAATTAAAGTGAGCTTTGATTTGGCCGAAATCTGCTTCAGAGCTGCCCGATTTTTCAAGAAGTTCTTAATAGTGGCACTTTCCCGGAGCTTATCAGTCCGAGCAAGCAAAGTCGCTGCCTCCATTCGAGCCACCTCGTCCGCATTCATAACGGAACTCTCAAGAGGCACAACTTTAGACATTCCGTCGTCCAGGCCGAAAAAATTTGGGAAGCGCCCCCTTTCCTCACCCCCCTGGTGTGCAAGAAGGTCAAACCCGTCAGCGCCTCGAACGTTTCCGGAAGTCGGTGGAGTGTGTGCTTCCGGGTCCAGGTCCGACGTCGTGTCGTTGGTTGACTCTTCAGTGGCTGGGGCCGACAGGACGCTGCCGCTTGCAGACATGACGATCGCGAGCGTGAGGAGACGGAAGATCTTCACCATTGTGGAGAGGAAGAGGTGCTGGCGAGGAAGAGGCACTGGCGAGGAGGAGGCGCTGGCGAGAAGGAGGCGCTGGCGAGAAGGAGACCTTGGCGGGGAGGAGGCGCTGGCGAGAAAGAGACCTTGGCGGGGAGGAGGCGCTGGCGAGTCAAATTCGAAAGTGAGTAACACGTTGTGGTCTCAAAGCCGCGGGTGCTGGATGGCTGGATGGACGGGGTCATCAAATTCATTGCGTGTGCTGAAGGGCCTGCTGCCGCGAGCGTCTGGCTCTGGTTTCCCAATCTCCAGTATCTCCGCACGATGTGCGCAGCTGTAGCCAGCACGCACAGAGCTGGATGGGAACTAACGTCGTCCATCGCGCGTTCTTATCGTGTCACCACGTTTGCAAATATATTAGAGTTCGGAGCGCTCGAGTGCCTTTTTGATTGGGAGCTCGACAACCGATCGATCCTGTTGCACGGGAAATTCGTTTCGAAAGACTCAACGTCGCATTGCTGACGCTGCCCATCTGCGCGACGGAAGCGCCCGTGGGTACAGTGAAATAGTGGATGCCGGTACTCCACCAGAATTTGTCTCTTTCGTTGATGTCGCATATTTTCTAAGCGCAGTCCGCAACATGGCGATCCTGCTCGCGACATTTGCGCATAAGGCCGTACGCGTACATAAATCTGGCCATTGATATCGTGATGTTTGTGGGCGCACAGATGCTAAGGTCACGTCTTGGTCGCTATATTGTGGCCACAAAGGGAAAAGCCATTGGCGAGTGTGCGCACGGTACAAGGCTTAGTTCTTGACATTCGGCTTGTTGTTGCATGTCTTGCGCGTGTGTAGAGTGCCATTTCTTACACATGCATGCCGCTCCCTCCGTCCGTTAGTCGTAAGAAACAAGAAAGAAGGACGTAAATGGTCACTGTTTCACTCAGCGGTAAAGATAGTTCTCATTCTCTTTCTCCGTCGCTCTCTCGTTGTCACCTATCATATTCTGTTGTGTTGTCGTTGTGATCGTTGCTTCTGCACACAGAAGATCAGCTGTTGTCTTTCTTTTTGTTCGTCTTTCTCGTTAACACAGCAACAACACGAACGAGTTGCGTCGTGACTACACGACAGCACAGTTGTGGTACAACGCATGACACACGACCCGTCACCCAGCCGCGAGCCGCAATCATAATAAGAGGTGCGTGCATAGCCAGCGCACGATGTTATTCTCTGGACGGAATGATCGACACCAAAATACGAGGTACACAGCCGCTCCTCTTACGAGCGTACAAGCCAGGAGCGTGTCGTCGTCTCAAATCGCACCCGAATCATAAACAAAGACGTGGTACCATAGCTTGATCCCACGAGCTGGGGAAAGCGAGACGCCACCGTTGTTGTGTCGCACTTTTCCAACTCGTAGGATCGCCATTTTTCGCGAGCGGTTTTCGCACCATTACCTTGTCTCGACTACACGTCGCTCCCATCTATGAGGACCTAGCTATCGTCCTATCGTCTCTGCTGTGACCACGCTTGATGGTGCGGCTTGCACCTACCCTGTATGGTCAAATACCTCTTCTTACACTTACAGTGCAGGATTTCACTTCGTGTCGCAAAGCTGTGGCGCAGTTAATTTTGCACACGCGATCTTTTGTCCGTCCATTACACGACGATAGTTCTGCGGTCGATACAGTCAGTCCTCGACAGTACACTTCATATCGACAAGATTACAACGTAAGTGCAGGCGCTCGAGCACGGGGTGCTTCACGCTGTGTATGGTGCAAGGTCGGCAACGATCACAATCTTTTCGTTCGTGGTAGCTCGCGTTGTGTTTTCATCAAACCGTTGACCACATCTTTGCAGTCCGATAGTTCATGTATCGAATGACGGGTCGACGGGTCATTACACCGCTTCGTTCAATCGATGGGGTGCATTCTAATTACGCTTCTGCTAGTGCTTTGTGTAAAGACAACCTATACGATATCGAACGCAGCTATCCAAATAGTAGATACAAGCGATGACGTGGAGGTGCATTA